TCCCCATGTTACACATTAAAATAAATCTCAAATTTTCAGCAGTAATGGTCACTAGGCTTGTCCTATTCATTTTGTACTGCTGTGTTCCACTTCACTCATAAGTGCTGACCTACAAATTTTAGAACTCTGTGTTCTAGTGACTAATACAGTGCACGATAAGGGCAGACCTGGGTACAAAGTCCCACTTCTAAAACAAATCTAGATTGACTAGCAATCCCACAACGTAAAGTAAACCTATGTTATGCTAACAGTTTGTTCTGAATCATACATTCCCTGCCAAATTTACACTTACGTTCAGTAATATGGCTTTTGGCAAACTGCACTTTCTGGTTAAGGTTTAACACCAACTCTTCAAAGAGTTGTGAAAATAATTTCCTATGGCATTAGGACATGGAAAGCTTTCAGCTCTAGGCAAAATACCACAAAATATCTTAACTTGCTTGAAACAGAATGTTACTAAAACACATTTTTCTACAGTAGATTCATTAACTCTAGATTTAATGAGTTTAACACACTGATTACGCTGTGCTGATTACAAAGAAGTTACACTGCAAGCTAGTGGTTCGTTAAAGAAGTAAAATAAGTTACTGCTTTATATCATAAGCAACAGCAGGAGCCACAATAGCTTGCATGGCACTTTTCAGCTCTAAATCTGGAGTACTTTACAAATACATGTTTACAACCACTTTTTTAAGATACAGTAACAAGGAAAGATTAAATTACAAGTTACCACAATGACCTTTCAACCTATCAACAGAAACACTCCAAAAATCTTCAGAGTTCAGGCCTAACGAGTTAAAGGGATCATCATCTTACAGGTAATACTTCTCTCAGTGTTACTTCTCAGTAGATCTCAGTCCTGACTTTGCTACTTAAAACCTGCAAAAAAACTAGACAATATACTCCAGAAGACTGCGAAAATATGGGGCCACCCCCCAAAAATATTAGAAGTACACAAAGAGAACACAGACCTGGACTCTCACAGCCCTCTTTACCTTATTTTCAGCATTCATGCTTCACACAGTCTAAAGCTTTCCCGTATGCTTCCTTCTCTCCTTAAATTATTTGTCATTAACTCACCAGAAAAAGGTCAAACATGAGCTAAAATGAAAAGCTGTAACTTAGAGGCTAACCTCTTGAAACAACATACTTAATCAGGGACCTCCTGATATTCATCAGTAAATGGTTATTAAATTCACTGTTGATCCCAAGAAAAAGCAAGAAATACCAAACTGGGATACCTGTGAGACAGCAGTGATCTTTTGGACCATGTGTCTATGTATTTGCTGAATATTATGTGTCTATGTATGTACTCCCCCTCCCCTCCCAACAGACACTGTAGGCATGTTGTAAGTTTGATATTACCAAACACTATTTTGCATAGGCCAAGCTCACTAAGCTTCCTAACACCTTAAGTCAAACCTAAGCCTTTAGTATTAAAAATTAGAGTGTCACCCAGATGAGGTGCACCCATTAGCCTCAGGACAGAATGTTTACTGACAGTGCTCCCCCTGAATTAATTAGTGACCATGAATGAGGAAGGAAAAGGCAATTAAATTACAAGGCAAACAGTATAAAAAACTCAAGAATTTAAATTTTAGAGGGTGGGTGCTTGTAGATCTTTGATCTAAAAGCAGATATTAAAAGAATCAAAGACTTTTTTTTTTAGATGGTTATGCAATATATTCTATTGAATAGGGTCTTATATAGAAATACCTGATGTGATCCTATAGACAGAATATAAAGATCTTAATAGAATTAGTAAGTTTTTTCTTGCATATTTCAATAATGAGGTAGGACTGTAAAAGCTATCTACCAATACCACTTTGAATGGAGCACAAGTTAAAAACAAAGCAGTAAGTAGTTTAACATGCATCAAAAGCAGGTAGAAGCACATAAGTTTATCAACCTTGGTCTTTCATCCCTTGAGCCTTTCACAAACCCTCTGGTATTTGAAGATGAGGAGAGATGAACCTGGCTGCTAACAGTTATTCACAAATGCAGTGGGCACTGCTGGCCTTTTCAGAAGTGTTGCTCGGATCCTTAGCACATTACGTAGATCTCTGTACCCAAACTTCCTCTTCAGAACTAGTAACTGCTTTCTTAGGATCATCAAGTAGATTGGACCTGATGAAATACATACACGGGTCCTTAAAGGACTACTGGATGAGGTTGTGAAAGCTCTATCCATCATATTCGAGAAGACGTAGCAGTCTGGTGAAGTCCCCGCTGGCTGGAAAAGGGGAAACATAACCCCCATTTTTAAAATGGGAAAAAAGGAGGATGCAGGGAACTACAGGCCAGTCAGTCTCACCTCTGTGCCTGGCAAGAGCATGGAGCAGATCCTCCTGGAAACCATGCTAAGGCAGACAGAAATCAAGGTGGTGATAGGTGACAGCCAACACGGCTTCACCAAGGGCAGATCGTGCCTGACAAATCTGGTGGCCTTCTACGATGGGGTCATGACCTTGGTGGATAAAGGACAGGCAACCATTGTCAGCCACCTGGACTTGTGCAACACGTTAACACCGTCCTGCATGGCATCCTTATCTCTACATTGGAGAGGCATGGATTTGACAGAATCTTTGTCAGTGACACGGACAGTGGCATTGAGTGCACCCTCAGCAAGTTCGCTGACGACACCAAGCTGTGTGCTGCGGTCGACATGCTGGAGGGAAGGGATGCCATCCAGAGGGACCAGGACAGGCTGGAGAGGTGGGCCACTGCCAACCTCATGGAGTTCAACAAGGCCAAGTGCAAGGTCCTGCACATGGGTGGGGGCAATCCCAAGCACAAGTACAGGCTGGGTGGAGAATGGATCGAGAGCAGCCCTGAGGAGAAGGACTTGGGGGTACTGGTTGACGAAAAGCTGGACATGAGCCGTCAGTGTGCGCTGGCAGCCCAGAAAGCCAACCGTATCCTGGGCTATATCCAGAGAAGTGTGGCCAGCAGGTCGAGGGAGGGGATTCTCCCCCTCTACTCTGCTCTTGTGAGACCCCACCTGGAGTGCTGTGTCCAGCTGTGGAGCCCTCAACATAAGAAGGATGCTGACTGGGTGGAGCGAGTCCAGAGGAGGCCACTAAGATGCTCAGAGGGCTGGAGCACCTCTGCTATGGGGACAGGCTCAGAGAGTTGGGCTTGTTCAGCCTGGAGAAGAGAAGGCTCTGGGAAGACCTTATTGCTGCCTTTCAGACCTCAGAGGGGCTTATAAGGAAGCTGGGGGGGACACATTTTTGCAAGGGCCTGTAGTGATAAGACAAGGCGTAATGGTTTGAAACTGAAAGCAGGGAGATTTAGATTGGACATCAGGAAGAAATTTTTGCCAGAGAGAGTGGTGAGGCACTGGAACAGGTTGCCCAGAGCAGCTGTGGATGCCCCATCCCCGGAAGTGTTCAAGGCCAGGCTGGATGAGGCTTTGAGCTTTTTTTTTTCCCTGCCCATGGCAGAGGGGTTGGAACTAGATGGTCTTTAAGGTCCCTGCCAACCTAAACCATTCTACGATACTGTATTTCCTGAGTCACGCACACAGACAACATTGCTCATTAACTCACTGTGATAGATTTTAAACCCTACACTGGAAGGGAGCACTCCAATAAAAGCATTCTGTGCTCATCCACTGTTCAAGTTCTACTAGTGGGTGAACTTTGCAAATTTAGGTCTGCACAGGTTTTTATATCCTGTCTATACAGAGTTTGCATACAATTTCTTTTGTTTCACTCTTCCCATTCCTTTAAAAGCCACACTGCTGTCCACACAGCGGATTTTCATGAGCCTTAGCTGATATGGAACAGAATGCTTCATGTCTACTAAAAAACCCATGGCTATAAGTCAGTCATATCATTGTATTCACCACGTTTCATGCTGCAGCAACTACCCTGCCTCACTAGTTACAGCTGTCCCATCCTGCCCTGCTCCACCCCCTGTGTCTCACCAAGATCAAAACCAAAAAATGCAGAGAATACAGAGAATATTGTGCAGGCCACAAAGGACACTTTGGCACTTTTGCAGTACATCACAGGCCCATACATTATGAATTGCTGACATCATCTGCCACTATTTTCCTAAATTCTCACTGTAACCAACCTTTCTTCACAAGGATGGTGTGGTCTTTTATTCTACTGCCCAAGCTTCTTCAAGCTTGGCATTCACTTCACACTTTAGATGGCACGTGCACATTTATTAACTTTTTGCCAAGAAGGGTCTGTGCAATATGAAGTCACCAGGCTGGCAATATCTCCCAAGTCATTCCACAAAGCTGAAAAAGGACTACTTACTTTCACAACATCTTATCTTAAAATACCAAGCCTGTTTTTTTTAAAAAATACATTCAGAATTAGTATTGAGTCACTGCCATGCCACGGAAAATATTAATTAAAACCATTAAATATAACAGTTCTGTCATTCTGTGAGAACAATTTCAAATTGTCTTTAAAAGGTAGCTTCATTGTGGAAAATCCTGAAGACTTAAATTGTTGCCACAGTAAGAAATGCCTGTTAAGTTAGATAAAAACATTTTTTCTGCTGCTCTATTTAAAAGTTAAATTTACGTTAAAAACACCAAACCCACAAAACTTAAGTACAAAATTTGTAACACCTCCACCGTCCCATCCCCCCAAATAAAAAGGTGTATTAATGCTGATGCCTGCAGCATGAGTCAGATAAAGTCACTGTATGAGCCACTGAAATTTGCTTTTATACAGTAAAAGGCTATTAGGAAATATTACAGTGATTGAGAAAATATTTTTAATATCGTAATAACTGAAAGTGAAGAACTAGTACATGTTAATTTAGTCTTTAGAGCATCATCAAATAGTCTGTGAAATACAGCATTGCCCAGAAAACAATTAACTCAAAGGGACTGGACACATTTTTGAATCAAAATAAATAGGCATACATAACTAGGAAACTCACCAGCTACAGATTTGCTCGTTCCTAAAGCAAATGGGATACAGCTTATCTAAGCTAAGAGGTAAAACTGATTTCACAATAATGTATAGTACCTGCAACGTCTTCTGGATCCGTTACAACAATGTGTGCATTTAACTCCTGTAACTTATGATGTAAGTCTTCTAACTTCTTATTCGACTTTTTCAAAAGGTTGTCCACATATGCCAAGTTCTTTTTATCTGTTGTGACCTTCCTGAGGTTCTCTGCTCCTTCCTTGATTTTAAGTTCCTTCCTTATTTCCCGCTTGATTTGGTCCTTTACTTCATCCAGCTTCTGCTGTACCATTGTATCTGAAAAGTCCAACTTTTGGCCAGTGTTCACATTCTCAGAGGCTAGAAGACTTTTGGCATCCCCCTAGAAAGAAAAACAGTAATGTAACTACCAGGAAACACTGTTTCTTGACAACACACGCTACAAGCTTAAAATGACCAGGTTTTAGGCCTCTGTATATTAAACACACTTCTTGTAAGACCATTTACTAACCATGGTTCTACACCAATACTGCTCTAAAGCCACAACCTCACAAGATATGACATGTTAAGTGGGGTTACATTTTACAACAGATTTATTTTAAATTTAGTGACATCTTTACTATGCCTATTTTTAACAGCAAGAGATTTAAATACTTCTGGATTTGTCATGGCTGCTTGCCTGGCAGTTATATACCTCAGAGCTAATGAATCACATTTGTAATTTTCTGGATTTGTGTGTTTTAGTAGACCAAATGGATATAGGAAATAAGACTAACTTCTAACAATTATTAGCTATGATGAAATTTTTATACATTCATTAGAATATATTCTTTTTAAAGACTGAAAAAAAAAAAAGTTCAAAAACACCTTAGCAATGGTTTGCAAATGTTTCAGGAAATACTGGCATCATTATAAAGATTCATCAAGATGGTACAGGAAAATAAACTTGCTAGATATTAAAAAAAATCCCCAAATTAAGACTTTTTTAAATTTATTTTTAAAGTGAAAGGCTTTCTTTCTTGTGTAGATAATCTAGGCTAAAATGAAAAAAAAAAAAGAAGTTGAGTAGAAGTTGGTGTAATAGGGGATCAGTGGATGAAGTCTTCCAATCACCAGTAGAAATGGTCACTTTTGTGTCTAGTATATGTTTACTTATCATTGAGAAGTAAGAGAACAAAGGGCATGTTATAAAAACTACATCAATGAAGTACAAATACAATTAATTACATACATCATAACACTTCTTGTGTGTCTTCATATATGGAACTTGTACAATGAGTAGACACTAGACCCTACCCAAGAAGTCTTAACTAGAGGTAAATGAATGAAGATCAAAGAACTTGGAATTCCAGAACTTGGAATTTGATCCAGTTAAAATTCAGGATGTAATTAGTAAATGTGTAGCCTAATCTGTACGTAACTACCCAGAAGACAAAAATTCATATGTATTTTCTTAAACACAATGAAGAAATTGGGCTAGACTTATGAAATACTTGGGTGGACAGAAGGTATTCGAAGGGATGAGTCAAAAATCGAAAATTTTGTGTGTAAAACTAGTTGTCATCACTATCTGCTGCTGGAAACACCAACAATACAGGAGAAGAAACAGCAAAAAAAAACGCTCAAGAAGGAGTTCAAGCAGCACAGCATCAGGCTAATAAACTGTAAGAACAGCCCAGAACACACGATCTCTAGATATAGTCCAGCGACTTGTTTGTTTTCAAAAGAATGTGGGGAGATGAGGACCATGAAGGTTGTGCCTGGGCCATACATGACAGATAATGCTGGTCCAGCTACTTCAGTCTGTGCACATACCAGTGATACTGCCTTCCATAAGCAAGATCTATAAGCAAGATCTAATCTACTAGTTCTCAACTATAATTTTGTAAGTTTAATAGATCATCTTTAAATCCCTCTTATTAAAACATTTCCACTCGTAATTGCTACTTTTAGTACAAAAAGTTAGCAACTCAAAGATTCTTAAATATTAAAAGCAGTCAGAATCACCATCTTGCCACAGAATTTGCTTATAGTGAAAAAGACAACAATCAAGCAATCTAGAAATGACAAACTGAGCAAGAAATGAAAGGGGAAAAAATCATGCAAATTTATACTTAAAGGCACTTGTGATTCCTCTAAGTGCATTTCTGTTAGGGCAGATTAAAATAAATAATTTATTATGCATATGTAGAGAGGCTATTAATAGTTGTACTGGGAAATACATGACATTGTACTAGTTCCTCATCACTACTGATTATGCTTTTTTAAGAAAAGTTTGTTCTTTTTATAAGCCTATATATGGAAACAAAGGTTCATACACATAAGGGAAACCAACTACCATGTGTTGAGTGTTTTGTTTTGAGAAACAACTGCAACAGAAAATAAATTCATATAGCAATCGTACAGTAAACTATTTGTTTAAGTAACAAGTTTATACAAATTAGATTCAGATTTTTGATTTCCCTGTTTGTCTAACACGAGATTTAGGATGTTAAAAAAAAAAAGGGCTTCAAGATCAGTATACTACTATTTAGCCTTTAAAACCAGATCAAAACAGTGTTTGTAAATAAAGTGTGCCTTTTAAACCATAATCCTTTGCACTTGTTCTATAAGCTTCCTAGAAACAACCTGATCGTCTACCTTCTTCAAAGTATGATATTACACTCTTCAAAACTCACAGGAGGATGACAGGTGGTAAATGTAAAAAACCCACTAAACCAATCCACACCAAACCAAAACAGTAAGCAACCCCAAACCCAAAAGAAACCTTTACTCTGTATTCCAACAGCACCTGAAGTATGCTAAACTTATGCCAAGAATGTACACTTCTTAAACAAAACAGTGTAATTAAAATATAAATAATTCAGAAATATTCTTGACTAGGATTTCCCAAAGAGACTTCAGTTAATTGTTTATCTACTGAACAATAAGGTATTTTATTACAGGACAGGTTTTTATCCCTCTACAAACGCTACATCCCACCTGTTAAGGGATATGTTCTTCCATAAAGAGGTTTTTGAAGCCTTCATTCTAGATATAGTCTCCTGCAAGTCTTCAATTAAATTAAATCTCCGTAATCATTAGTAATTTGCATTCCACATTTCCAGTAACTAACTTACGAGTTCTCCTCAGGGTGAGCAGTCTTGGCAGCATTTTTGTCCCTGGACTTAAGGGTTTCAGGATACAGAGAGGTCTTCTTCAATTTGCTCTGAGACAGCTGAGTGTTCAGTAGTGTGGATGCGAACACTAGAAACTGGTCACATTGCCTGTGCATTTAAGCATTCATCTTTCAATCCCCCGAAAAGCCAGAGATGATACCATTTCTGTCCTGTCATTCAGAGTTAATTATACTTTTGGACTAAAAGTATCCTGTCACCTAGTTACCTAGATGTGTCACCTGGCACAAAGGTCACTGAAATAGTCTTCCAAAGCAGCAACCATGCACTCAGTGACCCAGAAGGTCGCTGTGAATGCAGAGCTAGAGCGTGCTGACACGTTTTGCTGCTAGGATGCAATGAAGGTTTGAGACAGATCCTCATGCCAGAGATGAGCAGCCTCAGCAATGTTATGTTTTAAAATGGAGGTAATGCCAAGATGGACACAACTGGACAGAACATCTAATAGCTGAGTAAGAGAAGTGAGGTAGGATTTTATTTTAAAGAAAAGTATCTCCCCGAATGCCAAACTCAAACTCTACTTTTAAACTGAGAAATGACTTAAACCACAGGGTATTCCAGCTTTATTTGATGACAACCTACAAATCTTGTAAGAGCTGAATATTCTTTCAAAAAAGTCTTTTCTCCGTTTGCATAAATTCCCTCTCAGGCTGAACCTCACACCCGTTAGGATGCAGTGGTCTCTCTCCTCAACTTGAAAATTAAGCATGTCAAATGAAACAATGGTTGAAGGCAGGGGCCAGGTCCTTTCCTTTGCACTGCTCATGCAGGCAGGGTGCAAACATAAAAGAAATCACTCATGTTCTCTATGCAAAGAAATCATCAATGGATTTTGCACAGCCACTTCCTTTACTCCCCCTCCCGGAATCATTTAACAAAGTATTTTAAAAGTGGAAATGCTCTGAAGCAAATAATGACTAAATCACTCCTGCTGGCAAAACAGCAAACTACTTTTACCATCTGTGGCAAAAGAATGGGCAGCCCATTATTGATTCTCCATGTATTTTTTAGATCTGGAAGTGTTTGGGGTGCTGGTTAGAAGACAGAAGCCAGTCTCTGCTGGGTGGTCCCAGGACTGGACAGCTCGGCACGGCATCCTTCTCTCCCCTGGGCCCCAGCAGCAGGAGAGCAGCAGGCCCCCGGTGCTGCTGGAAGCAACCTGCTCTAGGGCTGGAGGGAAAGCACTAGAGGCAGTGGTGTGCTCCTCTCTGCAATGGGAAAATACATACTCACGAGCCAGGCTGCAGATTTCTGAAACATTTCAGCATGTAATGAAACTGAAACTATGTTTACTACAAGAAACTATCAACGACCACAAATTAGATACTACTGCTTAAAAAAAAGAAAGAAAAAAGCAGCACATATATAGCTTCCCTACTGCAATGGCCTAATGACTCAACCTCACTGATTGCTGGCTCGAAGACTATCCATTTACACAGATGAATTCAAGATGCCAGCCTTCAATTTCTGTACTCCTGGGAAATGTTTTAAATATAGTTGCTGAAAATAATAGGTAGTGGTCTGAGCATGTCTCTTAATAATACATAGTCTACTCTGGCTGATGTGGGAAGAGAGAGTAGTAATATTGTTTATAAAAACCCACAGGGGCCCCACACTTTTTCCTCAGGTCAATTTTGAACCAAATAATCAGTGAAGCAGGTGCATTACCAAACTGCATTTACCACCCAAACTCCTGTTTAAGAATAAAACTTCTAAACTGCTGAACAATGGAAATGGTACTGCTGAATAGTGTACCACGAAGCTGAACGTATCAGAGAATCTGCTTAAATTGAGTAAACTGAATGACTTCCAATTCCAAATGAGATTCTCAAACTGCCACCTCTTAGAAGAAAGAGATAATGCTAAAATCCTGGGCATTAACTCCCAAAGACTTGCTCCTAAGAGTGCAGTACAGTTGCACCATAGAGAATATGGAATAGGACAAGAATTCAGGTTGCTGACTTCTGGTAGGAATTGTTATAGAAGGGGTAATTGAAGCCATAATGTTTTCATCTTATATATGATTTACACAAATTACCATAATCCAGGAAAATCAAAATGTTTATTAATTTTCATTTAATTTTGAAGAGCTGTAAGTACAGATTCGGAACTATTAGGTCTCAGTATAATTTTCTGAATAATCTTTAAGAAAAAAAAAGGGGGGGGGGGGGAAGATGTTTCTCTGAGCTAATGGCCAAGG